AAATGACATACGTCATTGTTTGTACTGTATATTAATTCGAATGCAATTTAGACAATTACAATACTACATCATTTCCGTATCACACTTTACCCTCATCTTCCCGTTTTTCATTTTTCAAATTATACAACCATTAGCCATACACTTTCACGAGGCACTTTTGGCCACCCATTTGAATGGGGGAGTAGAGAAAGAACTGAAATGCTAACAGTAATGTTAAGGTGAGAAAAGAGAACTCATAAAGACTAAGATTTGAAAGACATGGAGTAGATGTGTGAGTGCCACTGTTTATGACAATCACTTAATGTCTCGAACACCATCGGTCAGGCTGCTCCCCATGTCCGTAACGAGGGAGCCGAAAGCGACCTGTAAGGCCGAGTCTCCTGGTTAGAGTTTTTACACCCTCATGTCGGTTCACAAAACTATGCCCTTGATGATTTCAACCAGGCTATCTGTTAATGCTGCTCACAGTTGCAAATTTATGCCACAAGTAATGACCAAACCCGTTAGACTTGATTCGTTAACGGAAACAAATCTTACTGAAAAGTACGTTCGGTATGCCTGGATGCCCATTTGTAAAGAGCATTCATTTCAATGTCATATTGCACAGGAATCTGCTTTAGTTGCGCACTTTTGTTGGCGTTGCATTATTTGCCGTCAATCAGACCATACAACACGTCGTTACTTCTGTGTATGATGCAAACAATATGTACCGATACCGGGAATAGAAACTCAGATGGAATTGAACCTGTTGCACAAATGAGGCAGGTTAACGTCAACTCTCTTTTCCTGAGCACATTTGGAAAAGCCGTTGTTTTCCATGACAATGCTTGCTGTCGTGCGGGGGTTCTTGTGGCAATCATTTGAAACTTTTCGTACATGGTCTCACCTTAACAAAGCTGAAAAGTGACTAGCTTTATTCCATACGGTGTCACCTAGCAGTTTGAATATAAATGTAATTGAAGGCGTTTCCCTGTACCGAAGAGCTATATACCCTGGGAGTAGTTGTTGGAGGTCAGTCAATTGAGGAAACAGAAAAAGTCGACCTGATTGATGCATTCATGGACTCCATGCCAAAACAACTCTCTCCTCAATGCTAAAGAAAAAAAGAGGAACTTACACNTTCAACTAAGGTCTGATTATCTTACGTTCATAACAATTTTGCTACAGGTTTCCCTTTTGTCCATCAGCCTTTCTCCATCTACCTCTGAGCTTATCTCGGCGCCCCATTGTTGTAGTGTTCTTCAGTCTTGTCGCATTAAACTTGGTCAACATCAGCATGAACAAATCCTAATGGTGTCCTGATAAAAATGAGGTTTATCGGGACACGTGATGTGCTTGTGAAATACGGAGTCACAGGAGATACCGTTTAGAGATTCCGGCACTAATGGCACGACAGGAAGCACGGAGCTCGAACCCTGTCGTAATCATAATGACNCGATACAGATTAGTAGTGATTGAAAAGTCCCGAGCAACGAAACATTTTTCTCAACTCGAGATTTGTATTCACATCAGTATGGTCAGCGTTCTGATAGTTATTTTAAATGGTGAAACGGGTTCTGAATGCAAGGCTGTTAATTTTAAAGCCTACATTTAGCATCGTATCACACAACTTCAAAGTTTTGCTTCGCCCTTACACTGGTAACAGGGAAACAAAAACTGTCTCCCCAAAGCGGATCAGAGGTTCAAGGTCACTTGTCATCATGATTCAACATTGACTTCATCCACCTAATTTACGCACATCCTTTCCATTCAAAGTTGGTAGTCGTGTGAAGGACGTTGGTCATACTATTAGTAATTATTGATGATGGAAGCCGCGTGGTTGTGTCTATGGACTCGGATTGCCATACATCAAAGGCTTTTAAGCCAATTATATAGCAAAACTTCCCTTCACAGTTATACCAGAAGCCAATTCGATGAAGTGCGGAAATATAATCTCATGATTCAAGCATATTGTTGCATTTGTGGACCGGTACTTTGTCCACGCAAATATAGCCTCAGTGCTTGCGCACGTCAGTTGCAGATGTCTGATAGGAAAACCATTCATTATATGGGAAATCGAATTTAACAAGTCCCGAACTTCAGTAATGCTGTTGCTGAAAATCAAACAGTAATTTTCAGGTTGGGACGACAGATATTGCACATGGGCGCAGATCTGAGCATTCGCGGATATCGCTCACACAATCAGAAGTTCCAGACACCATTGTCTGTATCATCAACACACATGCAATCAACCAAATGGCAGATGACCCTATTTGTTTGAATGTTTACGTGCATATGGCGTTCATGGAATGCACAGGTAGTTCTAACTTGGTCAACAGATGTAATATTGATGATCACTGAAGGAAAAACCCTTTTCAATTGATCCCTCAGTTGTTTCACAAGGCAGGTTGAATTCTTCTTATCAGGATCACGTGAACAGTTGATGCATCACACATTCTGAGTTTTATTCGCCTTTACAATGTTTTCGCTATCAGTAGTATTACACAAGCAAGGTCGTAGTGTTAGGTTAAAACAAATTTGCAAAATGAAAAGCATCCAGTTGTGAACAACTTAACCAATTTGTTAGAGTGCTGAACATACTGGCTCGAACAGAAAACTTATCAAAAATGTTCCGTTACTGCGGGTTTTGCGCTAACGACTCTGTCTGGCGGCCGTACTGATGTCAACATGTTTCACGCACCTTAAATCCCATCTGGAATAGAAATTAGTCATATCATCAAAATTGGAGCCTGCGAACGGTGTATCTGTGTTTTACGTGAACATCACTTGCCTTGACAAGTCAAATTTTTACATTGATCAAACGTCGATGTGATATGGCAATGAGAACACTGTAATAGTAGCAGTTGCAAAGCACCTGTAAACTGTTGTAGAAAAATAGTGCACGTTATTGTACACGTTCTCGTACACAAGGATTAAAATTTGTGCCTGGAGGGAAGAGGAACTTCGGCAAAACTGCAATTTCATAGAGGAAGTTCGTCGTGTATAGAGTAAATGATGCGTGAACTTAAGAGCTAGGAAGCACCACTGTACCGCTATTTCGACCTGC